CAGAGAGAGACAGAGAGAGACAGAGAGACAGAGACAGAGAGACAGAGAGAGACAGAGAGAGATAGAGAGACAGCGACGGACAGACACACAGAGAGAGAGAGAGAGAGAGAGAGAGAGAGACAGACAGACAGACAGACAGACGGACACAGAGAGAGAGGCAGAGAGAGAAAGAGAGCAGAGAGAGAGGTGGACATAGCATCATCTGTCGCTTGGGTCTGTAAAGAGCTCCTTGTTTGCCACCTGACCTGGCCTTGGTTTCCAGGGCCGGCATCAGCCAACCTCAGGTCCTTACACTGACACAGAAGTACGAGGGGAGGGAAGGGAGGACAGCTCTTGCCTGTGAGGGCCACATGGGTTCTCCGAGAGGAAGCGCAGCAGCTGGAGGATGAGATCGACCATGTCACTGCACTTGCTCTCAGAGTCCTCCAGAGCCAGGAGAAACCGTGTCTACCCTTTGCCAGCCACCACAAGCCTGTGGGTTTTTTTGGGCTCAAGTGCCTGAGACTGCAGGGCTGCCAAGCATGACAGCACCCATCAGCAGCTCACTCATGGCTGAAGGGCAATCCTAGCAGCAGCCAGTGGCCCGCGTGGGCACCCATTCCCACCCTGTGTCCCTGTGTCCCGCACTGTGTGCCCAGGTCTTCAGCCCTCAGTCCCTGGCAAGAATCTGGGTTCCCCTGTCTTCAAGATGGACGATGTGAGGTAGGAGGGGCTCTTCCCCAAATTCCTAAGGCCTGACCTGGGGACAAAACAGAACGAAACCAAACCAAAACCCTGATAGCCAGGACATGTCCAACAGCGTGGTCCTGGCACCCCCAGGGTACCTGTAAAGAGCTCCGCAAAGATCCTGCATCTTTGGAGTATGGGGCCTTCTCTGTACCCGTTTACAAGGTTCCCTCCTGCGCATTGGCAGAGGGCACAGTTGAGCTCTTTACTTTGAAATGGGGAAACTGAGGCTTGGAGTCTCAGCACTGCAGTGGAACACAGACCTGCAGTTACTGTTTGAACCTGGAGGCCAGCCTGTAAGGTCCGCGGCCCATCGCTGCCGCCCGTCCCACCCCGGGCGTCACTTCCGGAGGACGGCTCTATCCGCAGGCTCGGCGGGTCGTGGGCTCTCGGGATCCTGCGTCCTCCGGGCAAGGCTTCTGCTGCCTTGGAAACGATGATCCGGCTTGTGCCCGGGGCCCTGGCCTTGGTGACGCTCGCACCGCGCTCAGGCTGAGCAGGGCACCGTCCACCGGGTTCCTGAAGGCGCCTGCTTGTCCACTGAATGATGGATCCGGGAACCGTGTTGAGTAAGCCCCCGCGCCTCTGAGGAGTCCATTCTCTCTTCTACCAGGCGCCTCATCCCCGCGAGGTGCTCAGCATGGGATACGGTCACCCTTTCCCCGTGCCACGCTGCAGGTCACGGAGCCTAACCCATGGGATGGGCCGGTCAGCGCGGGCTCTTCTGCCCTCTGAAAAGTACGCTCCTCAGTGCTGCTGACCATCCACGGCAGAGCTGCCTTGAGGGTGCTCATGTCCACGTCCGAGCCTGGGTGGACGGTCGGCGGCTGCCTGCGGGCAGGACGGTCACAGGGGTTGTCACAGGGTCCCAATTCTCCAGCGACGGCTGAGGACGCTCCGGCTTCTTGGTTCTACTTTACTCTGAGCACCAGGCAGGCGCCAGAAACAGCTGCTGAGCCGGCTGGCAGTGAGACGCCGACCCACTTGGTACAAGGCTCAAGAAAGATGAGATAAAAATGTTTAAGATTTTCAAATTCATCGGCCTGCTATAGCTTATATTGCTATATTTTCTGAACAGGTAGCGACTACAAACACTGAATACTAACTAGAGAAATATGCCCAGTCAGAACAGCGGCTTTGGGAAGATGACTTTTGAGCTTACCAATGCTTTTAAACTTAAGCTGAGGGGTTTTAGTCTTTCACCTAGTTTTGAAGTTGAAAATCAAGATTTCTCTCCATTTGGGTCAGGAGCGCTGGCCTGGCACTGTGGGTGACGCTGCAGGTCCTGGCAGATGGCACCGGGCATCAAGGCTATGAAGCGGGAGAAGGCGCGGCCAGGCCCTCCGGACCTCACAGACTGAAACGCCCCAGGGTCCCCAACCCCAGACTGCCTGCTTCTGCACCTCAAGCCTCCCGACCAGGCTGACTCTTGGGGTGGTCGCGCTGCCGCAGGCTCAGAGCTACCAGCTCCCACATCTCCCCATCTCGCCATGGCTTCTCACTTCACTTTGTCCTGAGCCCTTCTCTTGGCACCAGCCATCAGTGCCCAACAGGGAGTGAGACCAAGGAGAAGTGGCTACTGCTGCCCTTGCCCTGGGCACAGGCACTGGGCTGGGTGTGTGCCACTCCATCTTTAGCCCAGCCCATCACTTTTACCGCGGCGGCACTGGTTTAAAGCTCTTGCAGGAAATGTGCTGTGTCTACGCCTGAGGACACAGCTTAACGCCTGAGGATGCAGCGCAGATGCGCTGTGGTGCGTGAAGGCCCTGGAGCCCTGGGTGCATTCAGGAAGAAGTGCTCTGAAAGAGCAAGTGGCTGGAACGCAGTAAGTCAGACCAAGAAAGAAGCCAAAGTTGCCGAGCCATGCAGGGAGCGAGAGTGCCTGCACAGTGCATGCTCACGCCGTGCCAGCGCGTTGTACCTGGACGGGAACCGTCTCGGCAGAAAGTAGCAGTGAGACTGGAGGAGCTGTGTAGTAATGAGTGTCGCCCTGATCTTAGGCTGTGCTTGCTTTTACAATAGTAGATAATCACCTAGAATGAAGGCTTCAGGCCGGGATGTAGCTCAGTGGCACAAGCGCACACCTGGTAAGCACAGGTCTTGAGCTAAATTTCTGGTACCAAAGGAAAAGGAAAAAGTGTGGTAGAAATGAAGGATCAAGGAGTATATAGAAAGGAGAAACATGCTCCTGGGCATTTTGGGGGACAGGTCCAGAATCATTCGGCTCCTGAGTCCTCTGCTTTGTGGGTACTGTTATTCTCCAGCTTATAGCTTCAGCGAAGGCCCCAGGCTGACCGGTGGGGTCCCCGAGCCCTCTCCATCCTGCCCGGCTTGCAGCTGTGCTGGTGCCCCAGGCTCTGCCTGGTCTTTGCACAGCTTACCCTGCGTCACTCCTGGAATCCTGGTCACAGGAGAGAGACTCACCTGCTGAGAGGAAGCCAGAGAGGCAGCACTCAGATCTGAGAGGCTGGGAAGTAGGGCCGGAAACTTTCCACCCCTTTCCACCCCCGCAGGTGAAAGCTGATTGGGTAGTGTAGACGTGACGTGAGATTATGCCTGGAACCCCGCATGCAAGTTCTTGCCACGTGGATGTTTTAGCCAACTTTTAAAATTCCCTGAGCCCCTTTCTGTGTCAGTGCCAGTGCTGGTGCCCAGGGCAGCACTGTCACAGGAGCCTGTGTGAAGGTGAGCATGCTGGCACCACGCTGGCACTGCGCAGGGGGCCATGCATCTGCCCGGAGGGCACTGCTGGGAAATCGGGGCTGGCGTACAGCTGGCTGCTGCTGCTGCTGCTTCAGTTCTCACGCTCCGCACAGAAACTTCCGGACGCTGTCCAAGCTTTCAGAAGCCATGCCTGCACCCTGAGCGGTCTTGTTCCTCGCTCTTGCCACACTCCAAAGTCCTCTCCAAACAGGGCTAAAGGAGTCGCCCAAGTTACCAGTCGTGGGGAGAAGGGACTAGCGCGTGCTGGTGAGCCTTGCAGTTGGCAGCCCTCACAAGGCAGGTGAGCGCGGCCTGAGAGGTTCAAAGTCAGCTGTAGTTCCTGAAAGCTTCCTCTCAGTCCTTGTTCCTACATTTCACAAAATGCTTCTGGACTTCTAAAAAGCCCAAATACTCTTTACAGCCAGGAAGCTGTCAGCAGAGCATTCTCTGTCCTACAAGGGCTTGGTGAGGCTGGGTCCCTCTGCACAGAGCTGGCGCTAGAGGACAGCGGCCCTCCCATCCCAGAGTGCAGGGCAGCTGTCCTGGGGTGCGGGCCTGGAGCGCAGGATAATGAGCACCCGGGGAATCCCTCCAAGCAGCAGTCAGGCCTTTCCCGTGATTTCTGGGCGAGGCTCACGTGTCTGTCACTGCATGGAAGAACGCCCAGTCCCACTACTAGGCAACTGGGGCAGGGAGAAGGAGTCCAAGTGAGAAAAACAAGGCTGGCTGGGCACAGTGAGGGGCCGGCTTCCACTGCTCCGAGAGCAGTTCTCGTGCCTCTGTGGGCCCCAGGAGGCCGACTCTCTCCCAATCCTGTTGCGCCCACAGAAAAGCTCAGCCCCACCTGGGCTGACACCCTGAAGGCTGGAGGCATGGTGTGCTCAGGGCTGCCCAGGGCCCTGCATGCAGCACCTCGGTGGAGGTTATTGATGATTAGTGCTTGTTCCTAGCTGAGAGAGTGGAGGTGAGTTTACGAACTCAAACCCAGTTCTTTCCCTGAAACCTGTGCCAAGCACCCTGGGAAGCACCCAGTTAGACACTGAGGCTGCCCGCCGGGGGCAGGGCAGTGAGGTCATCGGTGGTACTCCAGTGGACTGGCCATGAGCTCTCACCCCAAGTCCCCCTGGTGATCTCGGTCCCTCTGTCGCTGACTCTGCTGTCTGCTTCCCTTTCTGCATGTCAGCCCCAGCCCCAGCCTGGCACAGAAGCTGTGTCTCCTGGGGTCCTTGAGTTGGAACAGAGGTGACAAGGGCCCCTCTCTGCCTCTGTGCCCAAAGGCAATCACAGGGACCCTGACCCCAGGCCTTTCCTTTAGAGAGGAGATAAAAATAGTGAAGAAACAACACTTCCCTCCTTCCCTGAGAGGCTGGCAACTTTCCAGGATGGACTTATGTACTTTTTGTACTTGGAGGGAAAAAAAGAGATGGGATTTGGTCCAAGAATGGTCCTGGAAGCAGGAGAAATATGGAGCCGGCAGCTGGAGCGAGGCAGCCAAGTGGTACCGCCAGCTGCAGGCCCATTAATTAGCGGGCCTGGTATGCAGCGGTTCCCGTGACCCCGATTCTTGTTGAACGCACAGAGATAATTTTCACAGAGCCTGACTTTTCTCCCTGCCGTATATTTATCCAAGAGGTACCTTGCCCGTTTCCCCTCATCTCTCCAGGCAGTAAATTTATTCTAATTGCAGAGAGATAGAGTAAAAGCCTGATTGAATGCTTGGCGGTTTGTAGAGATTTATTTCTGGGGCTTAAGGGGTTTTTAGAGTGTGTGGTGAGAGTAGGGTTGGGGGCTCTGGGGAAAGGAGCGCAGGAGAAAATGTAGATTTAATGGATCTATAAAACGACCCGGCTGTAGACAAAGCCTCACTCCAAAGCTGTGGTTTAAGTAGCCTGGCCCATGCCCAGGTTGGGCCATGCAGCGTCTGGAGGGTTTTGGCGTTTCTGGGTGAAAGGCGTCCTTCCCCGGTAAGGAGGTCTCTTTTCCAACGGGAAGAAAGCGTGTGAACCACACATTTTTTCAAGTATGAGAGCAAACGCAGGCACCTGCCTTCAGGTCCCAGCTGCTGCCCAAGGCCTGAGCGTCCAGTTTCGGTTTCAAGGCCTGTTCTTGGAGGGTGCTCACAAGAACCAGGCCTCTGTCCCCTGATTTCTAACCCTTACTGGCTGGCTCATGGGGAGTAGACCTGGGAGCCCCATCTTCCCAGGCTCCTGCGGGAAAAGGCCTCTGCTCTTGCCCTGGCTGGGGCAGGGCTGAGGCGTGCTCTGCTGAACTTTTTTCCCCCAAAACCTTCGGGGCTTCTGATCCCAGGAGTGACATCCGTCTCTTCTGCAGCTGCTCTGCAAGTTGTGCTGAGGATGAATTTAGGACTTTCAACTGTTCCGTGGGCTCCATTGTAAATCTCATCTGGCTGAAATGGAGACATTTGCTCTGGAGGAAGAGGCCTTGCTGGGAAAGCAGGCTGGACGGAAGGCGAGAGCAGCCCTCTTCAGCCCTCGGCAGCCAGGCTGAGGTCGGGTCAGGAACACGCTCAGTGTCACTTTTTCCAGGAATAAACTGACAAAAGAAGACACTGGGGAGATGTCAAGCTTTCTGGCGTGACGTATGATACTCACCTGGAAAAATGTGTCTCAGAAGCTCTGGGCAGGCAACATTGAGGAGAAGGGGGTCTGGGGTGCTCTTTCCACGGCCCCCCCAGGTCTCTGGAGTTAGGGTGCTCAAGAGTGGCTCCCATTCAGGGTGACCACTGTCGCATGCTGAGTCGGGCTCTGGAGTCTGCACTCCTTTTAGCGCTGGTTCCGCTGCCTGTTCCAGCTGCCAGAGGTGACGGTGGCTTTCAGCCTGGGGACACTGCCCGTCGCCTGCGTGCTGGCTGCTGCAGTGGGCCTTGCTGGTGTCCTGGACCTGGCGGACCCTGTGTTTGTGGTGTCAGTGGCCACTCCCAGCCCACGTGTCCTCCTACCTTGCTCAGGGTTGCAACTGATGTCCTGTCCCTGGGTCAGGCCCAAGGCAGCCCGAAGCCTTGGGAGTGGAGGTATGGCTTGCACCTGGTTTCCTTCCTTTCCTGCCTGACGCCCATCCTCGAGTGTCTTGGGGCTCCAGGGAGCTTCCTGCACCCATGTACCTGTCTCCCAGGAGCTTCCAGAGATTGCAGTGCTGTGTGACTCCCCAGCCCTGTGACCTTCGGGAGGAGCCTGCTCTGTTCAGGGCAAGGGTCACAGCGTACCTCTGGTCCTCTAGCAGCTCCTGGAGACAGGAGGAGGGTTAGTGCAGTCCCCACAGGAGTGATGGCTCTAGCACCCTTGCTTTCTGTCCTGCCCTACACAGAGCTGGGCAAAGGGGCTCACAGGGAGTGAGCACAGTTCTGGCTTCTGGTCAGGACAACGTGTGGAAGGAACACTCATGCTGCCTGAGACGGCAATTTCATTCTGCACAAGGGTTATGGACACAGCACGCCCAGGTCAGGGTCCTGAAGGGGGCGCCGCGCTCACCTGGGAAGGGAGTCAGGGTCAGCTGGGAGCAGAGGAGAGCTCCAAACCTGCTGTGCCCAGCCTGTGCCTCCTCTGGGGCCTGCCTTCTCCAGGGACGCCGTAGGCGCAGAGGGGGCCTGGGGACCCCAGGCCAGACTTTCCGTCCTCATTTCTCCACAAGGCTGGAGTCCAGGGAAGGTGCAGCACCAAGGCCTGGCCTCATCCTCATCTTTCATCCACACAGCAAATTTATTGAACACTCACCCCGTGCCAGGCTTCTTCGGGAACAGATCGGCAGCAGTGCACAAAAAGAGGCCGCTATGGTTTAGATCTGGACATGACCCCAGCGCCTCCCATCAGAGTGGGGCCTTAGGAAGGTGGCTGCCTTATGGGGTGGCCAAGGGAAACGTGCTCCTCGGAGGCGGGGCCTGCTCGAGGGGGAGGCCGCTGGGGGCGTGGCCCGGAGGTGCGTATCTCCCTTCCTGCTTCCTCCCTCCCCTCTCTGCTTCCCGTCTGTGCACAAGCCCCTTGCACTGTGCTCTTTCTGCCTGGAGTCTGACCAGGCAAGGATTGGATCTACGGAGCCCAACCAAACCTCCCTCCTTTGAGCTGTGGGTGTTGAGTACTGTGTCTCAGGATGCAAAGGTGACCAACACAGACCGAGGGCCTACTCTCCATCCCAGGCTGAGCAGGACCTCAGGGAGGGAGCCTTGCCAAGGTTGGGGCCAGGTCTCACCTGGCGGGAGCACAGAGCCTTCCCTGCTCCAACAGGGAGCACAGATCTTCTAGAAGGCTCCTTGTGGTGGCACCTCCTTCACTGATCACTTCTTAGTGGCAGCCAGCCCAACCCTCCCCAACAACCCTCCAAGTGTAAACCCCCTTACAAAAATAAGATAATATCAATATTATACTGGAACTGAGGGCCAGCCAAATAGCTCAGAGGATTAAAGCACCTACAAGCAGGCACAGGGGCCGGGGGTTCGATCCCTGGGCCTGCCGAGCGGGCCCTTCCCCGGGGGCATACTGAGGTGGCAACTGAGACCGGGCATGGTGGTGCACACCTGTAATCCCAGCACTTGGGAGGCTGCAAACAGGAGAATCACTGAGTCCAATCTAATAGATCCTGAGCACCCTGTAGACCCTTCCCTAAAATACAAAAAAAGCTGCTGATGGACACCGTGGAGAAAGCACCATCAGTCTCTATTCTGACTGCCGTCATGTCTAAGTCAGAGCCTCCCAAGGAGCCCGAACAGCTACAGAAGCTCTTCATCGGAGGGCTGAGCTGTGAAACGACTGCTGAGAGGCTGAAGAGCCATTCTGAGCAGTGGGAAACACTCACCGACTGCGTGGTGATGAGAAAGCCGAACACCAAGCGTTCCAGGGGTGTTGGGCTTGTCACTTATGCCACTGCGGAGGAGGTGGATGCAGCCATGAATGCAAGGCCACACAAAGTGGATGGAAGAGTTGTGGAACCAAAGAGAGCTGTCTCAAGAGAAGATTCTCAAGGGGGCCAGGGAGATGGCTCAGTGGAACAAATGCTTGCCTGGCAAGTTCAAGGGCCTGAGTTCAATCCCTGGTTCTGAAAAAAAAACAAGAGAAGATTCTCAAAGACCAAGTGCCCACTTAATGGTGAAGAAGATCTTTGTTGGTGGCATTAAAGAAGATACTGAAGAACATCACCTACGAAGTGATTGAAATTATGAGCAACCAAGGCAGTGGAAAAAAGAGGGGCTTTGCTTTTGTAACCTTTCATGACCATGATTCTGTGGATAAGATTGTCATTCAAAAATACCACACTGTGAACGGTCACAACTGTGAAGTGAGGAAAGCCCTGTCCAAGCAGAATATGGCTAGTGCTTCATCTAGCCAGAGAGGTCGAAGTGGAAATTTTGGTGGTGGTTGTGGAGGAGGTTTTGGTGGCAATGACAGTTTTAGTCGCGGAGGAAGCTTCAGTGGTCAAGGTGGCTTTGGTAGTAGCCATGGTGGGGGTGGATATGGTGGCAGTAGAGATGGCTACAGTGGATTTGGTAATGATGGAAGCAGTTATGGAGGTGGTGAAGGCTATAATGAATTTGGCAATTACAAGAGTCAGTCTTCAAATTCTGGACCCATGAAGGGAGGAAACTTCAGAGGCAGAAGCTCTGGGCCCTGTGGTGGTGGAGGCCAATATTTTACCAAACCACGAAATCAAGGTGGCTCTGGTGGCTCCAGCAGCAGCAGTAGCTATGGCAGTGGCAGAAGGTTTTAAACACTTCCAGGAAACAAAGCTTAGCAGGAGAGGAGAGCCAGAGAAGTGACAGGGAAGCTACAGGTTACAACAGATTTGTGACCTCAGCCAAGCACAGTGGTGGCAGGGCCTAGCTGCTACAAAGAAGACATGCTTTAGACAATACTCATGCGTATGGGCAAAAAACTCGAGGACTGTATTTGTGACTAATTGTATAACAGGTTATTTTAGTTTCTGTTCTGTGGAAAGTGTAAAGCATTCCAACAAAGGGTTTTAATGTAGACTTTTTTAGCACCCATGCTGCTGATTGCTAAAGGTAGTAGTCTGATCATGATGCTGAACAAATGTGTCTTTTTAAAAATGTGCTGTGTAAAGTTAGTCTACTCTGAAGTCATCTCGGTTAACATCCCCAGCAGTGTGACGTTAGAATTCCTTCAGGGTGATGCCAGGTTCCATTTAAAATTTCTTTACAGTTGCTGAGTTAAAGAAGTCATTGTCTTCAGAAGCCTTGTGTAGCTGACCTGACAGTTACTGTTGTGACCTCTGAATTTGACCATTGAAGGTCACCCCAGCAAGCAGTCAGCTACTTGGTTATAAAAACGGTTGTTGGTACATCCTAGATATCTAAATTGAATTATGGTACCAGATACAATCATAGATGGAATTGAAGCTGTGTATCATCCATTATCATGTGCAATCAATAAATGATTTAATTCTCTTGAATGGGAAAAAAATAAATATATTGGAACCTTGGAACTCCACGGGGTGCTCCACAGACTCCCTGGAGCTCGCAGGCCTCCAACGCTAGGTCAGCAGGGTGCGTGTCTTCACTGCCGCGGAGAAGACGTGGGCCCAGTAGTTCTGTGCCCCTTTCAGGAGGACCGTCCCCTCATCTTCACATCCCGATCCTGTCGGTTTAAACAGCCTCTGGCTCGGCAGCGCCTCTGCCTGGCAGCCTCATCTGCAGCGGTGGAAACTGCTCCTGCAGCCCAGAGCCGGGATTCCTCACTGCCCTTCTGCACACGGTGTACCTGGTACGTGGCAGGGTCTCAGTGAGCCTGGACTGAGCTGGCTGCTTCTCTGCTGGAATGTTTGTGGGGCTTCTCAGTCTCCTCAGGGCCCAGCTCTCCGCCGTCGCGCAAGTGGCTGCGTGGTTGCCGCTGAACGTCGCTGACCTCGGTCCTTGGCACCAACGCCCCAGCGAAACAGGGAAAACGGGTGGCTTTCCCGCTTGCACACCCACCGTCTTCGCTGCCCTTTGGAAGGCACTTTACTGCAGTGCTAGGCATCATCCTTTAGTTTTCCCTAAATTTAAACTTTAAAATTGCAAGGCTGTATTACTTCATAATTTTAAAAAGTTCTCAAGTGTTTCAGGTTTAGTATGTTTGAAATACTTAAAGATAAAATGGGAACCCAGACAGAGGAGAGGACGGGACTTAAAAGGCTTGAGGTGCGGTCCTCCCAGGCACCCGCTCCCCTGAGAATGTCTTTTTTGATTGCACACATACATTAATAAATGGGGGGAGGAAACATTTTACTTGAATCTCCTCTAATCTGGACTGTTATTCAAGCATTTAAAATTATAGTTGTGGTTATTTACTGTGTTATTCTTTTACATTTCATACGTTTGAGATTTTCATATAAAACTTTTATCATGTACAGCTCCCAGTCAGGCCTGATATGAAGGTTTTCACAGAGAGACGGATGCTCACTGACTTCCCAGCTCCTCTCTCTCTAAGCATGGTCCCCAAGCCCCTTGGATCCTCAGTAAGCATGGTCCCCAAGCCCCTCGGATCCTCTGTGAGCATGGTCCCCAAGCCCCTCGGATCCTCAGTAAGCATGGTCCCCAAGCCCCTCGGGTCCTCTGTGAGCATGGTCCCCAAGCCCCTCGGATCCTCTCTGAGCATGGTCCCCAAGCCCCTCGGATCGAGGTGTGGCCCAGGACTTGTGCTGCTCGATCCTAAGCAACCGGTAGCAATGTGAGGCACAGGAGCTGGGAGTTGCCCAGAGCCAGCCTAGCACCCACTGGGGTCTGCAGGAAAAGCTGTGAGCCTGGGGGTGCCTGCCTCCACCCTCCTCCCCACTGCAGCAGGCAGCAGCACCGTGAGGTCATGGAAGGCTTTCTGAAGCCAGAACAGCAGGGAGCATTGCCAAGCTGCACAAGTGCCCTTGTGGGCAGGAAGCGACCTTCTGGAGGCTGGCTCTTCTGAGCTGGGGCAGGAGCACAGAACCAG